GGTCACGAAGAGTCGGACACGACTTAACGACTGAACAACAACAACAACATTTATGAAAAACGATTGTAGGCTTTTTGGTCTCATGCAATATAGTGATCCCTTCTAATACCTTAGGTGTCCCTGAGGCTATAAATGCCACTGGTACATTTATTAAGATGTCAATAAATGTTGTAATTGTAAATACTGCCAGTGGGTGGCAACTGACAAATGGTATTAATCTTTTAACATAAGAAATAATAAAAATCATTATCATCCACTAGTTGACCTAATGTAAAAATCCAGCATTCATCCAGATCTTCCTAAAGCCAGTTTTTTAAATCTGAGTTTTGAAATTTGGATTACCCCATAGCAATTTAGCATGAGAAAAACAATCAAAGCAATTTTTCCAGAAAGAATATTCCACAATTTTTAAACTGACATAATAGTGACAGAAAATCCAATTAAATAAAGGTGCTATATACACATTTCCAAGAGGGCCCAGGAAGGAGAACTTGCAATAAGTGAAGACTTCCAGAATCGTGTAGTAGTCAGAAGGTATGGATCATTCCAATTCAACATGTGGAAAACCAGAACCCCATCTTTAATTGACAACTGCATCTAGGTTGTCTTTGAAAAAAGATATCTTCAGAATTGAAGAACCCCATAGAGATTTACAAAACAGTGTACTAAGTTATTGAAAATGTTTTCTGGGTATGCGGACATGGCAGAGGAGTAAAGAACACAGCCTTAGCAGCTGTACTTGCCTCTTCTTGGTGTGGCAAATGAGGGTCTTGCTGATCCTCTCAATCCAGGAATGAAGCACAGCCAACCTAGATGTGGAAGACTTAGCTTCAGGGTCATGTCATGGTGCTGTGTAGGAAGAAGAAACATGTTAGGCCAAAGCAGCAGGAAAGACATGAGTGATGAAGATCAAGGGTGGCTTATATTAAGCAGGAAGAGGAGATAGGTAGTCAGTGACCTAGGCATAGACAAATACGCTACGACCCTCAGGAACTGGGATGATCTAGTATCAGGTTAGTATCAGGTGGCTTGCAACCATCTCAGAACTGGCTGTCAACATTTTTGATTCTGAGTCACCTATGTGGCAAAGGGTGTATCTCTCAACTAGTACTCCAAATATTTTTTTCAATATTTTTTTCCATAGCCTACATATACAAGATATACTGCTGTTTTGCTGCACTATTAAATTATATGTTCCAGTCCAACAAAAATGCAATGTTTATTGGTGAGAGTAGTTTTATAACTTTTCCTTTTACTTCACGTGAATGCGCGCGCATACACGCACAAAGGATTTGCAAGGCATGGTTACCCCAGGCTATTTTTCACTGCACCCTTACATAGTTGTGAATAACCACATCATAGTTATTTTTAAACATAAATATCTGCATAGTTGTACAGATGTACATGCAGTTTTAAAGCAACTTGAAATAGCAGTAGGCCCACTTGTCCTACAAGTGTAGTGCTATGTTGTGGCTTATGGCTTATGTTCATAGGACCTTTCAAACTCCACTTACTTCTCCCACAATGAGAAAATTATTTACTTACTTGAATGCATTATTAAAATAGTTGATAAACTGCCACAGAGTAGGACTTGTGCTTGGAAACGAATAAAAACAGTGCCTCAGAAATCCAAGAAACTCCAGTATAGATCCTACAGGCCTTCATTGCTAACACTTGTGTGTGGTGCAACTGGTGTGCAAAAAGATACAGTATGCTTTTTAATATATCTAATATCTATCTATCTCTATCTCCTGTGAGAAAAGTGCTCTTACACCTAAGGCCAAGAATTCTCACACTGTATCATGAGGCAGAAGTTACAAGCTGCCGGAAATTAGCAAGCAGGATGAAACAAGTCCTTGCTACATTTTCCAGGCATCTGGCTATCGGAGATGGTCTGTCTCCGAATCCGGAGGCTCATTAATTTAGCTTTTTGCATCACAGCGCCAGGGTCAGGTCAATTTGCATGTCGGAGCAATTTGCATGTCGGAGGGCGGGGCTTCCAGGCAGCCTTGAAGTCTCTTCTTTCGAAGCATTTAAGTGGCATTGGGAAGGAAGGGGTTAAGGCCGCGACGCGTACTTTTCTATTTGGGGAGTCGGGTTCGGAGTTTGCTGCGAGGCTGCTCGTTGTACGCAGTCTTTCCCCTCGGTCGTGCTCGCCTGGGCAGCCCCCTCGCGCTCCTCCTCCTCCTCGAGCAGCAGGTGGCGGCGGCGGCAGGCGCAAGAGAGTTAACCCCGCGGCCGCGACTGTGCGGGAGGCAGCTAGGCAGCGGCTGCGGGAACAGAGAGGCG